TAACGCGAATAAGAGAGCGGCCTTTCCCTTCATCGAACTTCTCGGCCCGCATTAATACTAGCTCATCGGTCTTACGGCGACGCTCAATTGAAAGATGGGCTTTCGATAGGTGCACACAGTGCGGCTGTCAGCTAAATTGGATTCACCATGCGGGCGTCAGCATCTCATTTGAAAACGTTCGTTTTTTATGAAAATTATTTATCAATATCAAATCTAAAATTTCGATTGGGAGTGATTCGTACGGTAGAAAACATTCATATTATACATTTACTGATGAATGGTTCGAGTGGAATGATTTTTACTTATGATTAAATACAACGATACATTAAACCTAACAAAAATATGTAATATTGTAATTAATTATAGTTTAATATAATTTAGTATACGTGAGACCTTAATGACACATGAGTCACACACAATTCTATATATTTCAATTATATGGAGCTCAGAAATATATTTTGTTTAGCCCGTGATTACGCTTGTGGAATGCGCAGCACATTTTGTTGTTCTCATAAAAAACAATTTTTATAATATTATGTCATTTAATTGCCTAAACGCTGGTTAGAGCTTCAGTACAGCGTAATGATTATATCTACACACCGATGAAGTTTTAAACTTAGCCTTTTAAGTACATTACAACATTAAACAACATATATTTTATACACATTCCAAACATTGATAAAATAAACGTTCATGATAAAATCAGCCACTTTAAGCCTGGTAGTTTAGTTAGGGCAAAAGATATCAAAATCTACGGTATTGTACTCTCTAAAAATTCTGTCAGAAGGATAAATATAGCCGTAAGACGTTTTATGGTGAGCAGCAAACAAGGCAGGACAGGAACGTGAAAAATATTGTGGATCGTAAAAATAAACAAGGCTTAAAAGCTCAGGACAAGAGAAATGGTAATTTACTAATTGGTACATTAAAGAATCATCAGCAAATTTCCGTCTAGTTGCAAGGGGCAAACTTAAAGGTTAACACTTAGTCATCAACTTTCAGGGTTATAAAGACACCACTTTTGGAAGCCAATATAGCAGACAAATCGCCTTTGAATTCTTTTAAGTAATTCCACCAAAACAATTTCATACAGATTCCACACTAATAAATTATTGCATTTAGAATCATATATTTTATTTTGAAATTTAAAGAAAGATATTTTAATAAATTTAAATTTATGCCATTTCTAGTGCATTAATATGTTCACCTATGTTTTCTAAAACAATATTGGCTAGGATTTAGGATATTCATTTTAAAAGAGTAAAAAAGATAAGGCATTATGAAAATTTCTTATGGCAGCTTTAAGAAGCTTCATGTTTATTTTCCTCCCCTCTCCTTCTTCTATCTATAATATCCTTCTTCCATCTAAAGTCTCCTACCGGTGCTTCCAATAATCTTTTATTATTGGTCTATTATCAGGAGCCATTATCAGTTGTCTTTTGTTACTATTATCTTATCACTAATCCTTTATCAGCTGTTTCTTATCATTATATAGGTAATTTGATCTCGCAAATTTTTGATAGACCTCCATTCATATACACTTTTTTGAAGAGAACGATTAAAAATTGTATGATTAATTGTTAACAAATATTATCAATAATAGTTTTAATCTATCATTTTTTGTTTTTTTTTTAAAGGCTCTGTCATATATTTTGAAAAGTTCTTATAAAAATATATGATGTGTAACCAAAAAACGTTTTTTGTTTTCATACAAATTGTCAGTAACTAACAGAAATTTCCTAATTTCATCAAGAAAAACTTTTCGTTCCCACGCGATCTTGTCATTGTTTTGTAACGGAAAAATGAAAAAAAAAATGTGGTTTGAGTGACATGGTATTTTTTATGAATGCTTTTACAGGAAATGTGAAATGTTTTTATTCCATTTTTACACCATTTTATATTTTATACAAAAAGTAATAGAATGTAAAGGCCTAAAGCAGTATGACAATCAACCGGATGAACAATGTATGTATAATATAGCCTTGGCTATATTATGAATTTCCTCTTAATTGAAATTACTTAACTAAGTGTGGCGCTACACGTGTCAAACAAACCTTTGACATTTAACGGATATCACCTAAAATCAAAATAACAAAAACTCGTTTGTTCCCGAACCTTTTTGTAGTTTATGATATTCATACTATAGATGAGGTAATTGAATGCCAAAATCGATTTTGAAGTAACATCTTTTAGCTTCGATGCGATAGCTGAGAAGTGTTTTTTGTATTTGCTGCCATTTTAATGGTGTTTTTTTTTACTGAAATCCGTAACGTTAGGGCATGTCATTATTTTACAATCAACAGTGGTCGTGTTATATTTTGGTTTTTATAACCAACTAAGATAGGGTCAACTTTCATTTTGCCCCTCGCAGGTTATTTCTATTATGTAATCGTCTCTACTGTTTTATTCCCAAAACTCGGGTAAACCATTATTTTTTTATAATTTATGACAGATATAACAACAACAAAAAACTCGTTGGTTATTCATACAACTATTATATTTGTCGTATTAATACGACCAACTAAAAGCGGTTATAGTGTAAACAATAACGAAATTAATGTAGTTTTTCAATCGCACTTTTGCTACTTAGCTTACACATTACTATATCGATTGAACATAAAAATACTATATAAAAAGAATATACTACATACTAAATAAAAAAAAAGTCCATTTAACTGTAATATATTAATATATTCATAGTAATAAAGCTGAAACGTTGTCAATATAATATTACCCATTGTCACTGCAAACCTCGCCTTGATTTAGAATTATGATTACATAGAATTTACGAAGTTAAAAAAAACAATCGATTACAATTTAATGGATTTTTTAACTTTATAGTATACCTACACTTTATTAGATATTCTCTTGTATTTTACCTCGAAAATAGTTGGTAATGTGATTTGTTAAACCTCGTAAATATTGTTATCCAAATAGTCATGTTGCCCGGGTATTAAACTACAGAATTTAAAATACATTTACATAATAATAACATTGTACAAAACACATTACGTGTGTGATTACATTCACATAAATGCTGTTAAGGTATTATATCATTTGTTTAATTGGTAGTACTGCGTTCTATTATATTTCGATGTTATCCGATAACAAAAAAAACTGTTTTTTTTTGTGTTTGAAAAAAAGGGGCTTCGACTTGTTTGGTCATTAGCATTAATTAGAACTTTTAAATATATTGTACTTTTACGCAGAGCTGGAGGTGAGGACGAGTATTGATATTTTAATTACATCATAGTAAACGATATTTAAACAAAAAAGTTTTCTGGAAACAGTTTTTTATAATTATCATTTTGGGTGTCATAGGATTAGCAAAATACATTTGATTAATTTCGGCTCATATGGATTGTATTATGTAGCGTTGGGCTAAAGTTATTTAATCTGGCTAAGTGATATTTTATTTGGTGATGAGTTAGATAATATATTCCTAGTAGGTACTAACTAAATTAATAAACAAATAAACTAATTGATTGTTAATAAACTATAGGAAATAACTTAATTGTTATGCATGACATGTTATAATATTTGAGATATTTTAATCAAAAAAATAAAACAATAATAATAATTGCTTAAAATTATCGAATTATTAAAATTGCTTTTTAGAAGTTCAAACATAATTTATTATATTGCTTTTCAGTAATTATTAAATAAACTTGTCATACTACAAAAAAAAAATACATAATAAATATTCAATTGTGGTCAGTAGTCGATTCCGTAAATGACTTCTACTAAAATATAGTATTATAATTTGGTAATTTAACTGGCAAATAAAAATGTTTTTTATATTTTAACATTGTTGGTCTGTCTATGGAAATACATTTCTATTGTTACTTATTACCAATGTATTTCACCTCTTAATAGTAGTTACTAGTTTCGTCCCATATAAAAACTTTATTCGTTCAAGTAATCAACACATACCAAATTTGGCTGTGTAAAGTATAATACAACTTGAGAACAATGAAGACATTTTCAGAGAAGACATATTTTAAGCACACTCATAATGGGGTTATTGAAAAGACCATTATTTAGTCTATTGAAGATACTAGATTACATATAAAACCACTTTAAAAATTATAACTTTTGTTTTCTATTTTTGTTTTCTCTTTCACTTTTGAAAATACTGCCATATTTTTCTTAGAAGACAATAGAATTCCTTTAAAAAGTACAAATGGTATTTTAAGTATTTATTTTTTACTGTCGTTTATTGTTCACCTTACTTCCATGGACTTCTTTGGACTTCCACTTGGCACTTGTAAACGTTGTCTACGTTTATTTTAGTATTTCCTACCCTATTCTAGTTCTCTTTTGATTTATTATTTCTAGGGTAGCAAACTAGAGTGACGTAAACAGTAAACTAAGTCAAGATGCTCTCACTGGGAATTCGGAAATTACAAATTCTTTACAGAGATACTCGATGTTAGTTGACTTGTTTCTCTTGACAATAATATGTATTACATTTTTTTTATTATATACATCTTTAGTTTGAGTGGGTTCTGTGAGTTCAATATACTATGTTAAATATGCCATAAATACAGTTTACATTTTTATTTGTCATTTAATAATAATGAAATTGTTTTGCGATTAGAAAATAAACACATTCTACTGAATAAACTAATCGATAACTCTAATATTGCTGTACGTCATTAAACAATATTTTACAATATGTCATGAAATTAGGGTGAAGGAAGGTATTTTCGTGGCATAAGCAATTTCGTGATATAGTTTGTTTGATCGTATCGCGTAATTCCCTATTAGAAAATTGTCTTGAAAATCACACTGATTGTTAAAATAACAGTTATTATATACGATATAAAATATCGTTTATGTCTAATAAAGTACTAAAATAAGAAATTATATGTAAAATGACCAAAGTTGTATTATACATTTTTTATGTTGTCCCTCTCTGATGGTACATAATACAAACGATTTGTATTTTTCATTACGGTCACTTTAATAATAATATTTTTTTGGTTTCTTTTTTCCAGAACGATAAGTAGAGTACGACTAGTCGATCGCCCAGGCTGCTGTAAAAACTAATTAGGGTGAGCCAAAACAAAGGCTACAGCAAGGGAAAGTGCAACCTGGCGGGCGGCCATCAATGAGCGTCCGGCCGGACATTGCTGCGGTAACGTGACCATGGTAAACGATAGCAGCGATTTCGGGGCATTGCAGAACGTTAAACCTAACACGTTTTTACCGCTGTACATACCGACATCCACAAACGGTTCCGATGTTAATCACACGGACCACATCGAACGGCAATATGTCGAAGACTACATATTCCAGACGTCCTTCTCCTTGGTGTATTTGATCATATTCACTTTGGGCACGTTCGGCAACGTGCTGGTAGTCTATGTGGTCTGGGCTAATAAACACATGCGAACCGTCACCAACATATTCATCGTCAATCTGGCCATTTCGGACATTATGCTCTGTGGGCTAGCCGTACCGTTCACGCCTCTCTACACCTTCACCGGTAAGTACACGAGTCAATACTTGTATGCTGATGAACACAGTGGATGTTCTTTAGAAACATTGGCAATTTTTCGTGAGAAAAAAACATAATATCTGGAATGCTGACCAAATGGCGCGGGGCACCCTGTATGGACGATATATTGTTGAACGATATTTATGGTCACTATTAATTGTAAACAACGAGTGATAAATTAAAACACATTAAGAGGGGGCTATCTTTTCGCTTTTATATTTGAATACATTTGAGTGATAGGGTTTTTTTTGCTTTTTACTTAAATGAAAAAAGTTTTTCAGTTTCATTCTTCTATTCAATTGAATAAAATGTATTGTTTTTGTGTACGTGTGTTAAATAGCATACAACTTTTTAGAGTACGTGTCAAAACTGTATTTAACTTTAAAATCATAGACATGAAAAATGAAACGTTTTTATTCGTTTTTACTCGTTTAATCGTTTAATCGTTTTAATTAGACTACCGTGAGTTACAATTAAATTACGATTTAAAATAATACTCGTACCATTTACGTTACAGCTTTGGCGTGCATTTGATTACAAAAACTAGTTGTATAGCTATAAAAAGTCTTTAGGTATATACTTCACACACACATACATACATACATATATACATATATATATATATATATATATATATATATATATATATATATATTAGTTATTGAACCATACTAGTAATATTATATCGTATTACAAAATACATAGTTACAATAGTTAAATGTAGAATATTTAAAAACGTTAGTTAGCACATGAAAATAATAAAGTAAATTTCTGTGTACGTTAGGTAAACAAATAATTCAAATTTTCAAACAAAAATATAAAAAATAATACTTTTATGTTATTTACCCTAGGTAATTAAGTTTTTTATAAGTATGAAGTTTCCATCACCCCCAGAATGTTAATTAATTAAAAGTGTTTTTTTCTTAGCATAGTTATAATGAAATAAATCATTTGTATTTAAATTATACACTATACTATAATTAGTAAATGTATTAGTTTGATGCATAAAAGTTTTAACACATTTATTATTGGTATAGTAAATTTATATTGATTTGCGCACACTAGTTAATTCTTAACTCCGCATGATATGTAAACTTCAAACCAAAATCTGACAAATTTTAGGATTACTGATGTAATAAATTTACTGATGACTGTTTCATCCTTATTCCAAAATAAACACATAACATTATTATAAATCATACACAATTCGGTCAGGCTATGCGAATTGTAGGTATTTGTTGTTACGTCAGATAATATATAATGTTTAACATGGACATATACAGACAATTCTCAATACCGAAATCTTCACAGTAAGCCTATATTGTTACAGAGTTGACTCAAGGATTAAATTGAGACAAGATTACGGATATTCTTTTTTAGCGCTAGAGTAAATATGGTAGGTAATATATGTTATTACAATAAATAACCTATAAGTATCGAGCTGTTAAAAATGGAATACGTAATTATTATTAAAAAACGTTATACGCATGTATTTTTAGTGGCATACCAGAAATGTAAAAACAAAATTAATGAAATGCGAATCATTATGTTCCTCGTGGGAATTCATTAAAAAAAGGCCGTTAATAATAAACAAACGAATATTCTTTGTTTTCAAGTTCCCGGTTGTTAAACTCAAACAAAAAAAGTATTCGGATAATAATAACAGTTTTAATTTTAAATTCATTCCATCAACATAACAATATAATCTTATACGAAACATGGTAATTAACCAGTAGCTATTTTAATATTTTTTCTTTAATTATTCGAGTTCCGGAGTCCGTTAATTTCTGCTGTGCAATTCGTTAAATAGATTGCACGTGACTTTTTGTCAAATATTGGTTACTATAACAATTTTAAATAAGTCACTAATATTTATCGTCTTTTAATTAATACCGTTTAAGGGCTTCTATACAGACAATAAAATTGTCGTTAATGATTATTATAGCGTTGAATGTAGGCCATATTTTTTTTCTCGGGGACTGCAATAATTTTGCGGGCAATATTTTATTTGAAACTTTTTTTTTCTGGATACATACAGATGAATAATTGTAGCCGATTTAATCTGAAAATAATATATATATATATATATATATATATATATTATATACATTTAGACGATTATCGTAGTTTCTTTATTGGGTAACGCGTGCAACGAGTAGTTAACGTATTGCCAAATATTAGCGTTTGTTGAAAAGCTATAAAAAATAATAAAAAAAATGACGTCCTAAATTTTTCGAATTACTCAATTGGGATTCAGGGCCGAGCACTTGCCATCAATTTCATGTCATTTTTGTGTCTGCGTCCCGGAGTGTGAATGATAGCGTACGCCGTGGTATCCCCATTGAGTGATTTCCCAAATCTCGTAAGACAGAATTCCTTCTTCTCTTCTCCACGGCCGGCCATACGTTTATGTCCTTCGTCCAGATACTCTTCCACGCGAGCACAAATCATTTATTGCGTTGTTCTAACGCGCAAACCGCTTTCGGCGTATTACATATTGTATAGATTGATTGCAAATACTAAACATTTAAAATACGTAATAAAATATGTTTTAACTTTTGGATGGTTAATGAAAAATTCGCAATATAAATTATTTTGAAATAAAGTTTAATTTTAGAACGACTATAGTAATTTTATCGGTAAAAATAGTACCTACGACTTAAGGCGTTTGTACATTCAGCGGATAGAAACATATGACCATAACGAGTTTCTACTAAAAACTCATTTTCATAGAAAAAGTAACTGATGTCGTTTCTGCAATTATCCATTCAAGTTTATTATAAATAATATTGTTTGGGCAAAACGTTTTCTCCTCGCATGAAGTGTTTTTACTACTGTGTGTGTTTTAATTCCATTTTTAAAGTTCACGTTTAACCGGTACCTATATAACTTATTTCTTTATGTAAATAATAATTGTACGGTCGGAGTTTTTTCGGTGTGTTATTTTGTTGCGTTAAAGGGAATTCGCCGTTTAAACATTACCCCAGCGTGCCATAAGTGTAGCGCTCCGGCCTCCGGGGACAGTACCACCCTTTTAGGGCCAAGTTTCAACATTTAGATATCGTACCTATATATAAATAAATAAAATCGCGTGACATTACTTTCGTGCTATATTTTATTTAATGAGTTTAAACTGTCGTAAATGTTTGACGCCATCCGTATAGAATGCACTTGGACAACGTGGCTGTAAAAAATAAAACAAATGTAATATGATAAATAATATTTACTATGACTTCGAATGCGAAAGTCAATAGATGCGATAGAAATATGAGATTTGGCTGGGTAGAAATTTTAGTGGAAAAAAAAACATGGTCAATATTATCTAAACGAAAACGTTCCAAACAATACACTCGGAGATCGAGTGGTTTTAGACTTACCAAAAATAACACAACTAAAATAAATATAACATTTTATTGAAAAAAAAAAATTCTTGGAAAAAACATGTTTTTATATTTCGTTTTGGGTAAATGGTCGTGTTTTAAAGAACAACGTTTGTTAGTTTTGTTCGTTGAGCCAGAAAGCTTACACTGTATGAATAATACAATTTATTTTTCCGGCAATCGGACAACGAGATATGTATAGATTTTAACCACCTCACCATGCCGTTTGTTAACCATTGCTTAAATTTGTCTTCTTATATTATAATAAAACTTGAATACATTTTTTAAACGAAAAATGTTGGTTTAAATCTGATCTATTTGTCTATGAAATTGTTTTTATAAAAATAATAAATAATAAATAACATTATAATATTGCATTTTTATGTACACTATGTCAGATCTTCGATAACAAGAGCTTTTTTTTCAACGGATTTTTTACGAAAAATTTTAAGATGCTCTTCCAATGGTTTGTCGAACTTACCCACTCCATAGTCGATTTTTTGCTTTTAATAATAGTTAAATGGTTGATTTTTTTATAAAGCATTTCAAGGTTCACTTATGTTATTCTCTCGTATATACTCTGTCTGCATTCAATATCGCTCCATATATTTTCCTTAAAACTTTTTTTCTCGGATGGAAGCAACTTTTCTTCATCCCCGAGTGGTGGACCATGTCTCACAGGCATACATGCTACGGGCCATATAGTTAATAGAACCAGAGTTTGTTTTTCCTAACTTCGGATATAGTAACCATGAGTTAAGAATTGTTTGCTCATACTGCGACTTCCAGCGATTTAGTCGAAAATGGTCGTGCATGATATTGATTTTGCCTTTTTTTTGAACTCCTAAATAATAATATATTAAAAATCATCCATTCGCCCGAAAGAATAACTTCCTACTCTTATATTACCTCTTTGTTTTATTTCCATTTCGACAATTAATCAAATTTTACTAATTACAGAGTAAAATTGGATAATAAGTAGAACCCCTCTCTTTTTTACTTTGATCCAATAGGGATGGTTTAACTACTTTAATAATATTATGTATTATTAATTATTATCATGAACAACAATAATAGTATTAATATGGAAGCCATATTTCACTTTTCAATGTTACATTACAGAATTTTTTTTAGTTTACTTACGCATAAAAACTTGTTATTAAACTATTTTATAAATACCAAACAAACCATAATTTGAAAGTTTTAACAGACGAACAAATTATAACATACAGAAAAAAACAATCGACAATGGATTATATTTGTAATTTGATGAGCAAATGATATTACATACAACATGATATAATACATGTATTTTTTCTTTTTTTACCTTCGCGATATCTTGGGCGTTGTCAGTTTTTTAGATGGGGCTATCATTCAAAACACATGTGCGTGTACATCAAATCCCTTTGGGTAGTTCCGGCTTTATGCGAATAGGCGTCAGACAGTCGGACAAATCGGCTGCTCGCCATGTGTGAAAATTATTTAAAACGAACAACTGAAAATAGAATATATTTTGTATTGTTCACCTTACATATTATTTTAAACTAATATTACAATGTATAATAATCTATAATAGAATACATAATACAATACTGCGATATTTCATAA